ACCCGGGAACTTTGCGGAGGTAACGTACTCGTATTTGCTGCATGGTCCGCCATGCATGTACCAACGATGTGGGTCTGAAAATTCTTTGGGGACTGGGTTCGGCTTCGATGCAACTGGTGGGTCGGACGGAGCCCAAAGCAAGCCACCACCAACATCCGATGCTTGCTCTCTGAAGCAAGACGTTGGAGTGCACTTGTTGCACCCTACCGCATGCAATTTGCTTTTGCTAGAAAATATGTTTGTTGTCTCCGGGTCTTCTGACATGCAGCAATCGAACATATCGGGTTCGCGGATGCGCTCCCTCATCATTGGAGACTGCTTGCATATGTAGTCATTCTCCACACACACCCGGAAAGCTGCAGGCAACAATGCCATGTAGGCATGGTACCTGACATAGTCGTTGGCGAACTGGAAGGCGATAGAATTCGTGCGCATGACCTTCCCCTCCTCCAGCGCCCAGCCGGTCTTTGCATCCATAGCCGCATTTTGCCCCTTTTGACGTTCGGGGTCTGGGTCAAACAAGCCCTCAAGGTCGACGCGACCTTGTTTCATCTGATCGCGCTTCTCAGCCGAAGCCACCACATTCTGCATCTGAGTCTTGATTCCTGCGACCAAATCATCTTGAGTTATGAACCAGGATGCCCTAATGTTGTCCTTTTCGTACGCAGCCCTCTCGGCGAGGCCAACATTTTGGTATCCGAGATGGCCTTCCTCATCTTCGGAATCTTCGGGACTCGGGGCCGTGCTTCTGAGACCGGACACCATTTCGCATGTCATTTTGGTCGAGGACTTCAGCAAGAGTCCAGCCGCCAGGTTCGTCATACGCACGTCAGTCGCTTCTAAATGCGAAGACTTCAAAACAATACCGTTGCTTTGCTTGTGCTTTCCCAGCATATCTACCGCACTCATGTTTAGAGTAGAGCCCCGGGCTACGACTCCAACGTTACACTCTCGGCATGTCATGCCGGAGATGTCCGCGATCACCTGGTCCATGACCATCCCGACTCCCAACATGTTGCTCATAGAAACGTCACGAAGCTGAACAAGACCACGCCTGTTCTCGTCCCTGCTTTGCAGGCTGAGGCCGGTAAGCGTGACCTCCTCCATCGTGACGCCGTGCATGGCTAGCTTCCAGTGGTTCGCGTCGATTTTGACCTTGCAGGTGCGACCGCGGGTTGATTGAGAACCACCTGACAAATTTGCATCAGCTTAAGTTCCCGGCAACACTCCACACCCTCCGAAACTTGACCATGGAGAAAGTCAAATCCAGCGTAGGGAGACCTGCGATGTCACGTCATATCACGTCCTCCGACGCACAGACTACTCAAAATGTGGGGAGCCTGGGACGTATAGCAGAAGGACAGGCCAAGAACAACAGTGGCAGTACGTGGCGGGCAGCTGAAGCTTGCGGGGTTTATGGGGTTTTCCAGGGCTGTGCCAAAAGGTCTTGGCATGCCACTGACACAGTTTGCCGAATGTCGCCTGCAATGACAGAACCGAATCGAAGTAGATCGAAGAACGGTAGGTGGACATCGTAGACTTCCATGTCGTGCATTTCCACACGCCAACCGCTGCCAAGACATAAGATCGCGGTCTGCATGGAGGAACCGGCCATAGTGAGGTAAGATTCGTCCGTTGCGTGCCAGGCATTAGCTTGAATGCAGTATCCGTGGCAGGCGCCGAAATGCGACTTCTGCATCCGGTTGTGGGAACCCAACAAGGCCAAGTGGTACTTCCCGATCATGCTGGAGTTTACCATGCTGAGGTTCCCTGCCGAATGGACGCTACAGTTCGCAAGCGTCGAGTTTGCAATCTTAAGGGTCAGCTCACTGCGCACATCCTGATCATTTGAACTCGGTGCTTGGAACATGATTGTGGAGTCGACGATCGCGACATTGGAACCGCAGACATCTATTCTGGTCGGAATCAGGACCGAGCGTTGGATTGTGAGAGAACGGAAGCATTGGCCTGAAAAGAAGAACCGTTCGGGAGGTGAGTCGGCCACGGAGCCGCCAGTTTGGTGAAGTGCTTCCACTGCCACATCTGTCAAACTCAGAATCAGATAGCGCAAATCCTGGAACAAACTCTGCGACAGCTGGAGGCTCTTCAGCATGAGCTCAGACCTTGCATGTTGCAGCGAGCGCGCCATGATCTTAACAGGAGAGTAACCGTAGCCCCTTAGCCACCCCTGTTCGAAGCAGTTACACGCTGC